AATTGAAAAGGCGAAATAAACGTAAACAGATTCTGTGAACATTGATATTGATATATTATTAATATCCATTGTCGGATACTGCAGGACCTAATATATGCCTATTCTCCATCGTGTTTATGCACTGTCGCCTGACATAATAATATTTGAATAAATTAATAATGGTGTTAATTTACATAATACATGGGCGTAGACAATGCAGAACTCTCGGGCCAATCATCGTTGGATACTAGTATTTGAATTTAATGTTTTTGTTTCTTTATAAACAACATTAGAGTTTGATTTTTCCTCATGAATAAATGTCTTACTTTCAGGTTATTACCATCAAGTCACTTCATTCGGCGATCCTAACATTGCTGTGGCGCTGTTGTTTTCAAGAATGACAGATTTTGATGACACAGGATGTGACAATGCTGAGTTGAAATACACACCTTTAAGTGATATGATAGTGACATGGAATTGGTCAGGACATGGGACAATGACAATGGGACACGCAGATCATCGTGCTGTTAAGTATGTATTTTTTAAAGATACGGAATGAAGCACATATTAACACAAATAACAAAACAAAATTAACAAAACCGTTTGAATAACCCTGAATTTACTCGCTCAAAAGTGTTTAATGGACGAATTAAAGTATGTTTTAGACTTCTTACTTATCTGATTTGGAAAATGCACATCATATTTGCTCCACGGACACAAACGTGTTGTTTGTAACAGAAATATAATATACACGTCATTGAAAACAAAAATAAAAGGATCCTGGATTTTCTTCTATAATGTCATATCTGAATGAAACAAATTAATCACACATTTGAAAATGTAATGGACAAAACTCACTTTGAACAACAACAAAAAACAATTTCTTGATGAACAAGATCATAATTAAACAGTTTGAATATTTTGTGAATTTTAAAACAATCCATAACCTTATTATGTAATGTAATGTGTAACTAACAGCATATCTGCGTATTGGTAGATAATATATTTGCTGGCTGTGGATAACACCACTAGAAATAAGTTACTATGAACTATTCTCAGTATGACTGTATTACATTATTTTGTATTTTAAGTTCTTCTTCCATTTGCATGTTTGTTTCTGATGATCATATTGAATAAATTATACTAAATTGAAACATTATATATACTCTGACAAATTGTTGCAGAAATCCACGTACATGCAAATATGTATAATTCAAAAGAAATTCTACAGACAAGAATAATATAAGTTTTGTTATATTTGTTTTTAGAGAACAATTGCTAAAAGCTGCCGAGAGTTACGGTAGAGTAACTGTGCAAAACTTAGCGGAAGAGACACTATTGATTGACCCAGAAAAAACATTTAATGAAGCGTTGCGGGAAATGATTACAGTAGGTGTATTTATGTAATGCGTATAATTAATGGTTGTGGCGATGAACATCATAATATTCACCCTAAATTTCATCATTGTACTCATGTTTGACAGTACTCGGAGAATAAACGAATCGAGTGATGGCAGATGTACTGGGTTCACCACATCACTATGATATAAGGCCCTAAAAAAACCTATGTTGCCCTCAAGTCGGAAAATTGTAAAATTGGGTCGGTCGGATTTTTTTTCAAACTCGTGAAAAAGGGTATATTAAATAGCCGAGATATGTGGACTTCATATTATTCGGAACATGTCATAAGAATACAGATCAACCCGAGTTTCCAAGTCGCCAGTTATCGTAACAACAACGGTCCGGGATCGTTAATTTTTAGCGAAATCCCTTTTTTACTGCTTAAAGTGGTGAGTTTTTAATATTTAGGCCTATTAACAAAAAAACAAAACAAAAAAACGCGACCCGATATTTCATATTTTTCGGTCGGTCGCTGAGGGCAACAATACAATTTTTTTGACCAAATCACAAAATGCTTTATTATAGTGCGTATGTGAACACTTTCAAGTGAATCTGGCAATATATTAGTATTACTGAAGCAGTGGCGGCGGCATCCAAAAACAAATGCGCGACCACTCGCGCTTTCGGCGCGTGGGATGGTGAGCAGGTATTTCACCCATGCAAAATGTCGTGCCGCCGCCTCTGTGAGGAATCCGTATGGACATATAAACAAAATGTTCCCCAGTCAGGCCATTTTCTTTTATCCGAGAAACGATTCCGGACAGTTTAGGTATTGGGATTTGAGGACTAAAATGGCCGCCAGTCAGCCATATTTAACCAAATGGCAAAGGCAATTGACGCGCATAATTACATTAGTCATCATACATGGTTCTTGTGTTCAAGTTTCAACGTGTTCGGTCAAAGCATGCCCGAGAAACGGTTATGAACAGACGCGCACACGAATTTCCGGATTTTGAATACCAAATTATTTAAGAATTCCCAAAAATAGTCCACTAACTCTTTAATGGTCACATTTTCATCTTATTTATATACTTAAATGGATTTTATTCCATATACATCGCCTGAACTATTTGTCAAAATATGATTCAACTCAATCACAGTAATATTTCAACTCGTTTATGATTGCAATTGTAGTATTAATTTTGTAATTTTAATTAATTTTAAATATTTCCTATATGTATGTGATGTCTCCAATTACGACATGACACGAGAATCAGTTAGCTTCATCAATGTATACTATTTCCGGTTTTTGATTAATAATTAACTGTGTGAAACCTTGATGAGCAGAACTTGGAAATCAGCAAATTGTAAAATGTTGTTAAATGTATATTTTTATTTTTATAGCCTTTTGAAATTTTGGATAAAGAAGGCAAAGGGTATTTGAGCAGGGAGGATATATTAAACCTAGATATTTACATTGCGTGAAGCTATCATGGAAATTGAAGGAATTGAAGGATCCAATACAGAATTTGCTGAATATTATTATATAGGAGCTGATTCTGTAAGGTAAAATGTATATGCGATCTGATCCTGTAAGTGAATATGATTATGGGATCTGATACTGTAAGTGAATGGGATTTCGGGATCTGATACCTGTAAGTGAATGTGATTATGGGATCTGATACCTGTAAGGTAACTTAACTGTAGGTATATAGAACCGGATCATGTTTAAAATGAATATATATGTGGGACCTTATTCTATAATGATTATATCTATAGTACCCGAGTCTGTATGTGAATATTACATATGGAATCTGATCCTTTTAGTGAATGTATATGCAGGGCCTGATCCTGTAAGTGAATTTGTATATGGGATCGGATATTGTAAGTTAATGGGATTATGGAATCTGATCCTGTACGTGGTTGTGTATGTATGATACTGTGAGTGGTTTTCTATGGAATATAATCCTGTAGAATAATTAGCATATGAGATTTTATCCTGTCAGTGTTTATGGTGTATGATTCTGTGAGTGGATTTGTACATGGGATCTGATCATATAACGGAGTTTGTATGAGTATCGTAAGACTAATAAAAGGTACATATAAATGGTTCCATTGGGGACAAAGACCAATCAAACACTGCAATTTAAACAAAACCCCCAAAATCGTGTCGTACTATGGCAATGCCAATTGCTGAAAATACAAGCACATAAGGTTACAGAACATTTCAAGCCTCATTTTGAAGTAATGTTCGCACCACTGTTTTTTTTTATTTTCTTCACAGGATGTTGATACATAGCTTCTTGTTACAACTCATAACAAAGTATCATTACAAGTATTAACTCGTAACTATGTCAATGTGCTAGGGGGTTCACAGGAAAAGGCAAATGAGGTAAATATTGATCATCGGATCGTATATTGAAAAATCATATACATTATTTTCAAGTAGGTGAGAAATGAGAATAAGGGATTCAAACATTTGAAATTATGAGAGGGGTGGAATAGCATTTTTTTGTTCATGATTTTTTGTCCGAACATTCTTATTTTCTTTGAATGTACCAAAATGTTTTCCCTTGGTAGATTTTTGTTATCTTGGTGTTTAGCAATGTTTTTTTTTTTACACAAATCTTCCAGAATCCCCCCCCCAATGATTTAATATGTTTGACCCCTAACTTGATGTTTATTTTCATGATTCTTGAGGAAGTCTTGAGTGCTTTATCAAATTTGTTAACCATGCTTACACCAGATGCCATCTATTATCGTGTCATTTCTACGAATAATAGACTAGTTAATTAGTCTGGAGAACTGTGGGTTGGCCTTACGTACGGGTCAGTCTGCGCATACGAATTCCAATGGCAATGTACCGTTGCGATTCACCGGGTCATTTTTGAGTGCACTGGGAAGGACACTCAGAAAAACTGGATTTCCGACTAAACCAAGCTAAGCTGAAGTTAATGAAGGAATGAAGTTATGGAATTTCTGCTATTTAAAATTGGCAGATGGGCATTTTTTTACGCCACAAGTATCATGAGCTTATGTTTACATACTTTGATTTCTAGTAGAATTTGTTTCTATTTTTAGCCCAGCTACAAAAATGAAATGTTGAATCTGGCCAGATTAATCTCTCAAATAGAGAAAATGACCGCCGAGACTTTGTTGGGAACAAGAAGGCGACAGGAATTGTTTTTGCTACTCAAATAGTCTTCTTCTCTATCCATCATCGCATTCATCGTACAAATACCATGGTCACATAATTCAAGGGAAGAGTGGACCTGGTGCCAGGAGACAATGGAACACTATTTGAGGAGAAAAACAAGTCTCGCGGCCCTCCCGCTTTCAACGAGATCTTGGTGACTATTTACTTCCTATGGTATGTTGCCAAAGATGACCCACAGTGTCTACATTAATTAAGTTTATTGTGGGATGCGCCAATAAATGTTTTTGACTAGCTAGTACATTTTTATTCTGCATTTTACACTTGGTTGCCAGTGAAAAATATCCAGAAGCCTACTCATGATTTCAAATACCCAGAATTTGTTCATTTTTTAATAAATTGTAGATCGAGGCAATATAAGAATATTGACTTAAAAAAAAGTTGGGGTCACCAGGTGAATTTTCGAGAAAATCATAGTTGTATTTTAGTGGATAGTGGCCATTTTGGCAGTATTATAATGCCTTTATCATAGGTTCCTGTGGCAGAGATATTATGTCATATCTCAAATTGTAAGCTGGTGACATAGGCTGAAAAAATAATATATTGTTAATGATGGGGTACTTTTTGTTTTCCTGATTGTTTTCAAAAATCTGGGTTTTAAAAAGTGTCGAAAATGCAATTTTTCTTTAACATTGCGCTCTATGGAATTGTTCCAAAAATTTAGATTTTTGACAAATATTAGGACAAGTTTCTCAAAATGTGACACACACAAGAATGTTATGATTTTATGGTGCCACGAGACAACAGCTCCATGATTTTACATGGTAAACCAATGAGCATTGATATGCGATTTATGACCAACTTTCTCAAAAATTTATGAGTAGACTTTTAACTTAAAGAACATAGTGTAATCATTCGAATTTTCGTTTAAACAAACCAAATCGAACATGGCGCGGAAATTTTAAAGAGAAAGTAAAACATTGAAGAAGAATAAATTTTGAGTTTTTGCGTAATTTCTTGTAGCATACAGTAAACCTATAAGAACGGTGGCCTATTTCCCCAACCACACATTGACCATGTCTGAATATTATAATTATATTCCCGCTTCTAAATTTGTTTGTTTATAATATTTCACGTAATTTCTTGTAGCATACATTAAAACTATAAGAACGGTGGCCTATTTCTCCAACCACACATTGACCATGTCTGAATATTATAATTATATTCCCCCTTCTAAATTTGTTTGTTTATAATATTTTTCTAGATATTCACAAAACTGAGTGGAAATAAACAATATTTTAATAAAGCTGACGTAGAAAATAATATTGAGATAGCGCTGGAGAACTGGAAAAAGTGGGACGTCAATAAAGAATGGGATCAAGAAAAAGATGATGTGTTGCGTAAAGAACGAGAAGAAAAAATACTGATTATGCGTGATGACATACAGTATCAGCTAAGAAAACAACAGGAAGAGTTATTGAAAGAATTAGGAATGAATTACGATTATTTGATCCCGGATACCAACAAAGATGAATTATAATCATAGTTACCATGGAAACGTGCATAAATCTTTTCACATTACGTATTCTACCACCGTAATAGGTCGAGTATTTGGCAATTTTAAATTTCAACCATATTCATTCTTTGTTTACTCTCTTATGCACTATTGCACCTGCAGTGGCAAAACATGATCAGAAAAACGGGCCATCTCTATCTTTATCAGTTTCTTTTGCATCAGTGCAGTATACCGAGGAACATTGCCAGCTTTGACACAACGGTTTCTCCTGTCCACAGCCATTTTCTCGATGAATAAGCGTAACCAAACTACCGTGAAACACATTAAAGG